TACGGAACCCTAAAAAATACAAAAAGTATGACAAATACAACAAGCCGTTGAAGAATATAGAAAATCGAAAATGTCATTTAAGATTGTAGCTGAAAAGTATAATATAGATAAGCCAGTCTTTTATATGCATAGTACAAAGACAATGCGAAAACAAGGTGGACAAACCATTTTTTCGGAAGAGGAAGAAAAGGGTATGATAAAATATATAAATGTATGTGCAGAGTGGCGCTACCCTTTAGATTCTGTAGATTTAAGATACCCGGTGAAAAGTTATTTGGACAAACAAAGGAGGACTGTACTGAAATTTAAAAATAATTTTCCGGGACCAGACTTTGTTGCAAGCTTTCTTAGAAGAAATAAGGATATAATCTCACAAAGAAATTGCCAGAACATTACAAAAAACAGGGCAGCTGTCTCACCAGAATCGATTAGAGCTTACTTTCGGGAGTTAGAAGTTTCATTGGCAAATATTAAGCCCTGTAATATAGTTAATTACGACAAGACCAATCTAACCGATGATCCTGGTCACAAGAAAATTCTAACAAAACGGGGAAGAAAGTACCCTGAGAGAGTGATGAATAATTCAAAGGTATTAACTTCTGTGATGATCGCTGCTAGTGCGACCGGTGAATTGTTGCCACTATATGTAGTCTACAAAGCTCAAAACCTTTATGATACTTGGACCGAAAATGGGCCACCAGGAACACGATATAATCAGTCGGCAAGCGGGTGATTTGATGCAAATATTTTCGAGGATTGGATAAAATCAACCGCGTTGCCTTATTTTAGAGGTAAAGAGGGGAAGAAGTGCCTCATAGGTGGTAACCTATCCTCGCATCTGTCATTAGATGTGATTAAATTGTGTCATGAAGAGAACATTACGTTTGTTTTTTTACCAGCAAATAGTACTCATCTGACACAACCATTAGATGTGGCCTTTTTCCGTCCGATGAAGATTGTATGGCGCAACATTCTTTTAAAATGGAAGAAAACCGATAGAAAAACACAAGCATTGGTTCCAAAAGGATCCTTTCCAAAGCCTTTGAAAAAACTTATTATTGATCTCAAGCAAAATACCAATGATAATATTTTGGCAGGTTTCAGAAAAAAGGCATATGGCCGAAGATGCTGTGGAAAAATCTGTCCTTGATATTCTTAAAGAAATGAGATATGGTACTATGAATGTAACTGAATCAAAAAAAAAAGAAAATTAGATGTAATTCCAGGAAGAAGTGTTGGCACTGAAATTGAAGAGTATGTGGACACAGAGGAGGATAATTTTAAAAATACCCGGAAAATAAAAACTGCTGAAACCACTACAATAACATGCGTAAAGACAAAGAAAGGCAAGGGAAGAGGAAAAAAACCAAAAAAAACCAGACCAAGACATAAATGGAACCGAAGAAGATAAAATAGAAGTTGCAGATACAGAAACAATACCTAGAATAGAAGTTGCAAATACGGAAACAATACATAGAATAGAAGTTGCAGATATAGAAACGATGCCCGTAATGTTTGAAGACATTACATTATTCGGGAAGAAGTTGAGATTTCGCGAGACGACAATTCACAACAATTTGACGATTTATATTTCAGCGGGAACTTAGAATTGATTGACGATATGTACCATACATGAAGAGGCTCCGTTTAAACCTAAAGCTTTATGTACTGAAGATAGGAGATAAAATAAAAATTATCGCCAACGAAGAATTATCGCAGGAGTATTTTATTACCATGAAAAATAAAATACCATTACCGTTGAAACCTGTTTCTAAAAATACTCCTTTAAACATTTTAAAGACTAAAATTGACCAACCAAGCACAAGTGGTTTCAAAGCGAAAACGAAGTCGCGGAAACCATCTTATTACAAAAACGATTCAGAAATTCTTAAGGATTTAATGAATAATTCGGACTAATTACATAAAAGGGCTCTTCTTGTCGAATTATTTATAAACATCCATTGAATTGTTCAGTTTGGATGTCAGACCCTTACTGTAATGCGTCTCCTTATATAACTAAATTGGCAAAAAATATGATTACTACATACTTATTACTTATAATTCTCATGTGCAATTAAAATGCTGATTAGAAGTAAGAAAGTAAAATTTGTTTTTATTTTCTGTCTTAAAACACATATATATTTTAAGCGCCTTCAAAAATCTATTAATCTACCTACATATAGCATAATTACTTTGAACGTACTGCAATAATTTAATTGTTAAAATGAGATAACCCTACATTTTAATTTTTCTATTAACCCCGACTCCTGGGTAAATAGAGATTGCTAATATTTTTATGCGTGTTTCGTTCAATATATATATATATTAAAAACAGCTTTTGAACATAATAAAGTTTAAAACCAACCTTGACTCATAATATAATTGCATTAAATACAAAGAAACCAATCGAAAACAATATAAATGTCAATTTCAAAGTTCCAAACTGTGTCTATTCACCCCGTTTTACGGTATTACTCGAATTTACCCCACAAATAAATTTTATGCTAATTAACATGTATTTTATTTCCTTAGTGTGTTTATGTAATTAGACATTGTTTCTGATCACCATTTTAGTTGTAAAAAATAAAAAGGAGATTATTGTGACAATGAGCACCTTCTTGCCAATTACATTTGGGGGTTAGGTAATAAAATTTCAAACTATTATTTATTTACCAACCCAATCTTTTAAAATAACAATCTATTATGTTAAATATACACTGTTCCATTTTTATTTGGGTACGAATCATATTGTAGTAGAGTTGTAAGTGTAGAAATTAAAATTTTAGGTTTAAACTTAGAAAAATGGTTTCATCTTGTAATTTTGGAACATTTCTGTCAACAGCATTAAGGAACGTTTGTGTGTAGGATACGATTTTAAAGCATCAGGGACAGGCTTTTGGAATTTCTTGATCTTACATTGAAGAGAGCAGCAGAATAGAGAGTGCACATACAAGCAATTTGGGAAAAGAAATACAGGCTATCAATATTAAAAAGAAAGCTTCAATGGAAAAGTTATCGGCAACATTGCTACCAGCACACGGGAACAAAATATGCTGTTTTGTCGCCCCAGAACAAAACCGGGCTGGAGTTGATTGGTGTAAAAATGTTGTTTATGTACGTTCAAATGCTGTGTATGACATGGATTTGTTGTGACAGAAGATAAACCATGGATATTTGCTACATTCTGGCAAAAAGCAATAGAGTATTTTGTATGTGTTCAAAGACGACAGCAATCCTTCAATTGAGGCAGGCAAGAAACATGGTCAAAATAATGATTGCGTTTATTTTCTCCCAGACTGGTCCTGTCTGCACGATCCCACTTGATGAACAAAAGATAGTCAATGCTGAGTGTTATTTCTTTGCTATTTGTTTGCCCAGTGTCTTTAAGGGAAAACGACCAAGAATTCGCATCCTATAGAACCATGACAATGTTTCGGCGCACATTGCGAACAAGACAAAGTCAATTTTGGCATCCAAAAAGGTGGAGCTTTAGATCCATCCCACACACACTTCATACTTCGCACCATGCGGTTTGCTAATTTCCCAAAAATCAGATTTACCGGGAAAGGCCGTGGTAGCTTTCAACGAGCACGTGGAAAACATGCCTTCAGACCAGGTCCTTACGTTTTCAAAAATGATTTGAACGAATCAAAATGAGAAAAACGAAAATAGTGTTTAAAATTTAATACAAAATACTTTGAAAAGCATTAAATTTATTATTTTATACTTAAAAATTATTTTGTTTTATGAGTTATGCAAAACATTTTTAGTTTACCCCACGTAGAGATGCAGAAAGATCAGTGAAAATTTTAATTGATGAGAATAGACGAATTACTAATAAAGATATTCAGTTCATTTTACAGATTGGATTTGGAAGTATTCAGGAGGTTTTACACGACTATCTTCGCGTGGGGAGGATTGGGTGCTGGACTAACTCACCAATGCTCGGATAAGTCCCGCGTAGAATGATGCATGACATGATTGCTAAATTTGAAGCAGGCTCGTGTTGTATTTATAACAGGTATGAAGCGTAAGTCGACGGCTTGGCTGTTTCAAAATAAACCAACGTCTACCAAAGTGAAGCGATCAATATACTAAATCCGAAAACGAACTAGCATCAATGCCGAATGGTAAAGTACCAAATGTTTGACCGAGTTATTCACTGCTGTGAGCGACAAACGACCGAACGCAGCGCTCCATGGGCTGCTTCACCATGACACCGCGCCCACAAACTCAGCGCTCAATACGAGGAAGTTTTTGGAAAACACCCTGGTTAAATTTTTGGATTATATTTTTGGATATATATATATATATAGGCACCGAACTGGATGAAGTGTATAAATACTTGTGGAGGGTTCGTTAATAAATATAAACTTTAACCACTAAACAAAAATTATTTTTACTTTCGTAAAACACTAGAAAACATTTGTTTAATTTTAATTTTTTTCATCGTCAATAAAATGTTGCATTTTAATTTAAAAGAACCACACTGTGTAACAGACAACTTCACCTCAAGCTCAACTAGCGACTGATGTGCGGGAGGTTAATAACCCTCATTCACTAGTGTTGTGGATATTCTTACACTGCCACTACACGGTAATTTCTCTCGTTATAATGTAAATGTATTAATAGTATTTCACATATTATTCATATATCACACACATATACATATATGTACAATGTAAATGCATATACACAATATAACATATATATATAAATAATATATAGTATTGTGTTGTTATTTCTTGTTTACTAAAAATAAAGTGTTATTCAGTATAATAATTATGTAAGAAACAGAATATATCGAATTTTTGCATGGTATTTGACGTAGTCGTAATTAAGTTTATAATTTATGAATTTACAACCATTTGTGAAAATTAATAACATCATTGTTACGGAATAAATATTGACTACTCTTATAGCACTAAAATCAATTACAGAATTTAATACAAATAGGATCCTATAGGATTCAATATTTTCTTAAAATCTAGAATATTATTCTACGGCCAGTCTTCTAATACATTATTCACAGTATGCCAAGTAAGACCCGTACCCGTCGGACGATGGGCTGATGGCCATAGTACATGTCTAACAAACGTTCTGCCCTGGACTAAGCCTAAAAATAACTTCCAATTTTTCCTTCTGCCAAAATCGTACGGATTTCTAAAGGACGATTTGTGAGTTTTCCGAAACTTTGCGTTTATATGAGCTTCGATACATGTCTCCCCCCTAGATATGTTTTTTCCATGCCATACAGATAAAGTTCCCAATGATAAAAGTACAGACAGACATGTAATAGCCATGAATATTACAGCTTTTCTCTTCCAGGGATGACTACTGATGAGTTGCAATTCAGATACAACTGGTATGGGTAAGTCATGCTCTCTCGGAAAATTAAAGGAATCATACTCAACAATTACTTTCACTGGTACTAATACACCCGTTTGATTCATGCGAACAGGATGTCCTATCAACTCGGGATCCTCATTGGGTGTGATATCACCTGAAATAAAAAGGAATCATAAATATTATGTCAAACAACCGAAATATTTTATCAAATTATAATAATATTTAATATTTTTATAATTATATTTTTTTATTAATTTAATAATTATAATAAAAGAGGAATATTTAAATAAAGTACAAACAAGAATAAAAATAATGAGTACATGGAAAAATATTATGATGGCTTCGACTACATGCAAACGAGGTGTACAAAATCAGAGTTCGGTATGGTGCCTGCTGTACGACTACACGTGGTTCGCTGTACTGACATCAAAAGCACACCCGCAGGAGAATTTGACATTTTAAACGAAGCACCGTAGTGTAAGGTTCTTTGCTTCCAAACTTGTGTTTATTATTTATATTCGTATATTATTACAATAACCATAACAGTAAAATAGGATTATTAAAATAGGATAAAATTCTATTTTATTTTTAGAATAGAAAAACATTTATTTAACAAAAGTAAAAAACTAAAATAAAAGAAAAATAATAAGTGTGCCTTCGAGTGTACCGACACTATCTTAGTGAACCGACTATACGTTATTGAAAGGTATATCACCTTCTTTTACGGAAAAACGGACGGTCCGGAGAAATACCAGCACGATTCGGGTGCTTCTTATTCAAAATAGGTATCACGTGGCCCTGTATCATATTATGTAGGATTGTTTGTCTGAGGCCGTTTTAGAGGGTTCGAGATATTACAGATGCTTTGTAGTCTGAGCCTTAAAAATACTTTACAACAAACAAACAGTTGTGCTAAAATTTACAATTAATAATAATAATAATAATAATAATCGTTTATTTCCAATCACAGTGGTACATTAAATAAAGCATGCTTAGTTTACTGTGTAATTTCTATGAAATACTTATTTAAACATTTGACCATTGTGAGAGCGCGGAACCTGTACTAGGATACCCTGTGTTACAGTTTTCCGACCCCTACACTCGGACTTGATTCATATATTGCCTAGTACCATAATTGTTAGTTAAAGTAGGTAATAGTAGATAAATAATGTGTGTTTGCGTGTGCGTGCGTGTGTGTGCGTGCGTGTGTGTGCGTGCGTGCGTGCGTGCGTGTGTGTGTGTGTGCGTGCGTGCGTGCGTGCGTGTGTGCGTGCGTGCGTGTGTGCGTGCGTGCGTGCGTGCGTGCGTGCGTGCGTGCGTGCGTGTGTGTGTTATTTAATTATATGCACACGAAATCGAGACTACTACATTAATAATTCATACTTATCATTAACAACTTTTCAAATATTATATCATAATATTAAAAAATTATTTATATTCCATTCTTTATTGCATTGTTTTTAGATCTTCTGTTTCAGAGTAAAATTTTAACTGTAGGAATTTCGTAACTGTTTCTTTACAAGTGTAGCGTAGTTTAGAGTAAATATTCACAGCCTGACTAATTTTATTGTATATAGGTCGCAAAAATATATGTTGTCGTTTTGCAAACGGTGATGTCTCTTTAGGAATCCTGAATATTATATCTTTACGTCGTTTATTCATGTGAATAACGTGATCGAAAGTAGTTTTAGCGTGGCTGTGTAATATTGACTTTAAGATATACAATTGTCGAACTAAAAGGACTCCCGGATTTGAGTAAATCAGAGAAGTGGAATAACTACAGGGTTTAAAAAGAATTACTTTCAATATTGCTCTTTGTGCCCTTTCAACTTGCAGAATACTTACTATTCTTAAACGTTCCTCCCCATGACGTTATGCAGTATGTAATTATTGATTGGCATAATGCGAGATAAGTTACTTTAAGCCATTTAAAGTCAGTAGCAGCTCTTAGACGTTTAAAAACATATATTAATTTGCGGATCCTTTTGGTGAGTGTCTCAACGTGATATTTCCAGGAAAGTGTTGAATCAACGTATACACCGAGGTATTTTATTTTTTGTAACTGTTCAATAGGGGTACACGTATGTGAACAGGAATCATGATGAGTGGAATGTTGACAGGTGTGAGCAACTATTTTAATATTAGATGGTTGAAGACGCTGTAGCTTGGTAAAAGTAACGTACTTAGTCTTTTCCAAGTTAAGAGTCAATAAATTATGCTATAGCCATTTCATAACCCGTCCCAATTCATTGTCTACGTTCCGTGTTAGTTGATCCCAAGATGAGCTATGGAATACTAAAGCTGTATCATCTGCAAAAGCGAACAATTTTCCTTTAACTAGTTTCAGGTTACACAAATCATTCACATAGATCAAAAATAAGTTAGGTCCAAGTATACTTCCCTGGGGAACGCCATAAGAAATATATTGAGAGTCACTTATCACATCGTCAATATTTACACGTTGGGTTCGATTTTTTAGATAACTATCAAATAAATTTAAAGCGGTTCCCCTTATCCCTATTCTTTCCAACTTATTCAACAACAACCGGACAGAGACAGTATCAAATGCTTTAGCCAAGTCCAAGAACACTGCTAGACATTTGTATTTTTGTTCTAATAACGTGACTATATGCGATGTTAAGTCACTAACAGCGTTTTCGGTTGACTTTCCGCAGGTAAAGCCATATTGATTATTGGAAATAATATTATATCTATTTAAAAATTGGGTAAGTCTTTTATTTATTAATCGCTCTAGTACTTTCGACAATGACGGTAAAATTGAGATTGGTCTATAATTACTGACACTGGCTCTGTCCCCAGATTTATAAATTGGTTTTACGAGTGCCGTCTTGAAACAGTCAGGAAATACGCCCTCTCTAAAACTTCTATTACATATATGTGTAATTGGAGGTACAAGAATACGGCTCGACATTTTTAGCACCTTAGTAGGTATATCATCTATTCCAGTTGCTGGGCTGTTTTTAATTTCAGTAATAGTATTATACACTTCAGGAAAATCAGTATCAGTCAACACAAATGAGTTAGCAATAGAACTGTCCAATTCGTTCGGGATAGGCTGAATATCTCTAGGAATCTTCTCTGCTAGGTTTTTTCCTACATTCGCAAAGTATGTATTTACTTGATTTATTGAGAGATTAGGATTTTCAGCAAGATGAAGCAACTCACTATTATTGTAGTGTGCTTTTAAGTTTAACTTGGCAATAGATCTAATTACATTACACGTTTTTTTAATAGTCTTTCCTGCTTTTATAAATTTATCTCTGTTATAATTGTTTTCGACCTTTTTTAAAATTTCATTGCAAAAATTTCTGTATCGCGTATAGGTAATATTTATTGCATTATTTTCACGAAACTTTTTAGATTCAGCATGAAGTTTATCACGATTTCTTATGCACCGTAACAACCCCGGTGTGACCCATGGTTGGATAATTCGTTTGCGATTTGATATACATTTTATTTTAGTGTGTTTAGTCACAACATCCGTAATTTTAGAAACTAATAGTTTCGTAGCTTTATTAGTATCCTCACATTCCAAAATAGGGATAAAATCTGTGTTTTCTAAATCGGCAGCTATACTATTAGTCTATAATTTTCTGTGATAATGAAGATTTTGATATTTTATCTATTTTATTAACGCTAAAGATAGTAGTATAATGATCCGTTATGGTTGTACGAATAACAGCTGTTGATGTTTTTAGTTCCGACTTGATTATTATATGATCTAAACAGCTCTGTTCGCGGGTAGGGATCATGTGACCCGGGAGAAATCCATGAAAAGCTAGAAGGTTTTGATAATCGTTAGAGTGCATATTCGTTTCTAAGATATTTATATTTATATCTCCAGTTAGATATATATTTTTGTATTCCTTAAGACTCTCTATAGTATTATTAAGGAAGTGAAGAAAGTTATCTATGTTCCGATGAGAGGGTGGGCGATAGATAGCTATTATACAAATCTGATTTGGCAATTTAACAGTTAGGCAGTTTGCATCAAGAAACGGTGGTTCTGTTATATCAGCAGTAATTGAGTCTTTGACGTATATTACAACTCCTTCGTTTTGAGTATTATGTTCTAAAGTGTGATAGCATTTATAATGCTTCAGAGCTGGTGGATCCGAGTTACCTTTCAAGCAACACTCCGTGAGTACTATTATATCTACGTTAAAGTTCAGACTTGTTAATAGTACTTCTATTTGACTTATTTTATGAAAAATACTTCGAATATTTTGAGATAATACTATTAAGTGGTTGTTGTGAGGAAGGCAAGTTTTAATTTCATCAACACTGCAGATGCATGAACTAGCCGGATGATATGTATCAATGCTATTTGAGACATCTTCGTTTGGGGTGAATTGGCCGGTAATTATTTAAGGACTTACTCCATGAAGCGTACATACTATTTAAAGAAATAAAGCATTCATTGCGGACTGTTCCAAAATAATAATGCTCATTTAGTAATAAAATAGGATAGAATTGGTAATAAAACCTTACATAAATAATATTCAATTAATATTTGACTGATTTTGTCCCTTTACGTGTGTATAGCGTTGAGTTTTTTTATGTAATGTAGCTTTATGTATAATAGGAATGAGTAGGGATAAAGTGTTGTATGAGTGTTATATGATTGTATGATTGGTAAGAATGAGTAATGATGGAGTGTTATATGACTGATGTGTGTTGAATGTGAGTGTGAATAGTTACATTTTACTTTATATCTTAAGGAAATAATATAACCTATGTTAAAATTATATATTAACATAGAAATGAAGTATGGAAAATAAAACAAAATAGGGCCAACTAGTCACTTTTCCTTTTTGAGTGATACTAGGTCCACTTCTGAGGTGATACGTATTATTGAAGATCCATCTTCTTTAAGAAGGAAAACTTTCCCGAAAGATGTCCAGCAATACTTATACCGCTGAAGCGCTGCGAGCTCTCTGGCTAGGAAGAATGGACGCTTGGCTCTGGGGGTTAGATTTTCTGAAATATATATTGGTAGTTTTGGTCCATCGATATGTAGCAGGTGGGTGTTTAATTTTGGGGCATTGCTTTTTTTGTTGAACGTCTTATTTGACTGTAAAATTTTTTCCTTAGTTATAACTGTTGTAAATTCAGCAATTATTGTCTTTCGGTCTGTTTTGGAATGGACACGAAAAACGTCCTTTATATCTGAAGGTTGAATGGAAGCATTTATGGTTTCACCCAATTTTACTATGGTCTCGATTAAATTTTGCTTTGTTTCATTCATTTTCTTGTGATTTCGAAACTTGATGATCGGAGCTGCCTCTCTAATGTTTCCACCTTTTCTTCTAAAAGTTGTATTTGCTTTCGATCGTCTTTTTTTTTCTTGTTCTAGATTTTCTATTCTTTTTAGAAAGGTGTCATACAATGTCGAGTTTAAAATCCACGGCTTGTTTTAATGATTCATTTTGTGTCTTAATCTCCTCCATTTTTTCATTTAAATTTAAAAAGTACTGTTGTTGTTCTCGAATAAGTTCCTTTAACATTCTATTAATATCAATTTTAAATGTATCGAATTCATCCTCATGCTTTCTTTTGGTACGGTAAGCTATGTTCGGCTGGCCATCGGAATCGGAATAAATATTTGGGTCTGAATGGCATAGTGTTTGCGATGTAAAGTTGATTGCCGCCGAGTCGAGACGTAGGTGTCGGTCGCGCTAGTAGCAACAATATTCAGCGGCTGCGAAGTAGTAGACTGCGGTGGCGAGCGAGAAATCATAGCGACGTTAAAACAATGTACCAGGGCAATATAAACAATCAGGTATTACGTATTTATTGCAAGCTCCAATATGTTTCGCTACTATTTGCTTAGAGGTCAAGCAACAGGTCGTTGATCGACGATTCTTATACAAAAGGCCTTTCCGTCTAATATTACTTGATCTCTCGTCCTATGCATACAATATTCATTTATGCTATCCCTGTTTTATTCAATGACGCAATGATTAAGCGTTTCTTTTTTGTTTGAACTATTTATTAATTTGCAAAAAAAAATTATAACACTTCAATAATAATGGTTTTACTCACACAGCTGCATGGGAGATCAAAGTCTATATCGAAGACTAGTGTTGAGAGTTAGAGAACACTTCTTCACTTTTATGCACTCCTAATTATTTATTTGATTTTGTCTGAATTTAAACATAAGTAAGTAAACTGTAAACTAACTAAACCACACACGTCTGGTCTCTTCGAGAGTCCGAGGGGAAGGGAATAAAAACAAATGTGACAAAGTGTAACAGTAAAAAAAATGTAGCACTAATTATATTATATTAACTAAATGATGTCTTACTTGTATCGTTTAGCAGTAGTACTTGGTATCCAATTTCAATTCCAAAAACAATCAGAAATAGAACACCAGCCACCATATAAACCATGTAAAGATAGAAGTGCCTGGCATTATAATAACCAACGCAGTTATTAAGCCACGGGCAGTGGTGATCCATGGCAAGTATGCACTTGTCACAAACTGAACAATGGTGAGTTCGAGGTGGCTTTGGTGATATACACTTCTTACAAATACTTGCTGCATGCAATATCATTACGCCCTGTAAGGGATAGTACATAGATTTAATATTTCGATTTCTGAAACCTTCTTTCTCTTCGAAAAGAGTAAACGTGTCGTCTGAAACCAGTCAATAGTCTATAAATTACTTTGTAAGTTAGTCAGGGATGTCATCAGATGCAAAATAATTTATGTAGCAGTTATATTATTTACGCACCAACATTGCCCAACTGAAATTGTAATGGGTCTTCCATATTGCTCGTAGGACCGAAAACAGTTGAAGAAGAAAGGTTCTCAAGTCTCAAGTGACAGCAAAAGTACTGGTAAGCAAGGTATACATGCGTTGTATACTTTGCTTACCAGTACCAGTTGTACAAAGTTGATGTACGTAGGTTTAGGAGGTGTTTATGGCTTTCGGGCGAAGACTATTTTCAGCAGTGGATTTACGAAGTCCTGTATACGAAGGACTGTAATGACGATGACAATAATATATTTATACATATACATTAAATATTAAAAAAATTACATGTTACTCACATTTAAAGTAACAAAATCAAGCTTATTATGTTTAAGTCTATGATTCAAACATACATATAGTCATGTATGAAGTAACCTTAGAAATTGTGTTCACTTTTTATGGTCAAATTGTTTTCCTTATTTATTGTAAAAATCTAGCTCTAATTCATAGGTAGGTACTATCCCTTTGTTTAATCTTTCTTATTATTATTTTTTGTTAAATCTACTAATCATTTGTTCGATTACACTCTTGAAGGATATACCTAAAGTTTATATAATTTGAGAGAGTAATAAAGACAAATAAATTTAATATATCGAATATGCTATGTAGAATTAAAGTGTTGCTTAAAAATGTAATATAATCACTAGGCACATAATACTAATTACATTTTTGGCTACAAATAAAAGTGATCAACAAGTTTATTTTTCGTAGTTATTCTAATAAAAAAATATGCGTGTGAACAGCAAAATACATTATTAAGTAATGAAAACATCTTACATGGGGAGGATGTCCAGGAGAAGTAGTTACACCCATGTAGTAATGGAAAACAATATTGAGCAACAGCCAATTACCAAAAGCAACTAAAAAAATTGTGAAAAATTGATTGCGCTGCCACCAGTAGGGTAACCCAACCCAATATGAAATTAACACAACTGCTGTAGTCAAAATGGTCACACAGAATACAAAAATCTGAAACAGAATTTATATAAATAGGTAATGTTAAATTACAATCAAAACTGAAATAATGTGTTGTTTGGGTTTACAGAATATGGGAAGCATTGTTTTGTCATTGGTATGGATAAATATTATTCACATATTTAAGAAGTATGTTAGCCAACAACCCTCATCTACATTTAGCTGTCTTCATTTCGAAACCCTTTAAACTCAGGATGAGTTAGGCGACTCAGAGAGCATTTTTTCTCGCCACAAATCAATTTACACATTGTATGTTCTTTCAGATTTTTGAACGAATTTAAATTATTTCTACTTCTGTATCTTCCATAAAAATTGATCACAATAATTATAATAAAAATGCTTATGTGCAACATATGAAAATACAATTTTACACATTTTTTCCATATAAATTTAAACAAAAAATTCCATCCATAATGGTGTAAAAACAAGGGTGATGATATAAATGTAATACTGTAAGTGATTTTTAAATTATTACTGTAATGTATTTCTATTTTATGATTTCAGTAAGTTCTGTTGTATGCACCAAGCATATTGTATGGTAAATAATATGGTCAGTACAGAACTACAAAATAAATACGGGACTTAAAGAAAGGTTGCATTTTCCTTGACATGGTGTGATTGATCTTTTTGTTTGCGCCCGGTTAGTTTCCTCACCTCATCAAATGTAAATAATATGAAACTGACATAAAATTCCTCAAGCGGAACCTTAATGGAACAGGGCTCTTCTACTGCATAGCTACCACTTATGAAATCATAAAAGCTTAAGGAAGAGAAAAGCTTTACCTTTCCTAAATAACAGGCAAAATTGTCCACAAACCAAAATATTGGTTCTAGAAGGCAGTCAACAGCATAGCTTTGGCTCATGTGTTCATTATATGTCAGCGAACGTATTGTTAGCATTACTTGTGCTATTTTCCATGATATATACTCCCTATAACAATAATAATAACATATTACTTTTCCTGATTAAGGGTGAAAACCCTCAGTTGTTAGGTCGAATGGTTGGGTTATTATAAATGTACATATAATATATACTATATCATATATAAAATAAACATTTCAATAAGCATTTTACTATATTATATATATTTTATAAAACTTTCATCTGTGTGAGTGGAAATGGCAATACCGCTTGTACTGTGACAACCGGTCGTGCATGGAGTACTGCTGCCACATATGGGCTGGTGATGCAAAATGCCACCTGGCAGCGTTCGACTCAGTGGAGAGACGTGCTAAGAGGCTCATTAGTGACCTTGATTTCGTTGAAACCAATCTTGTCAGTCTCGAGCACAGGCGCAGAGTAGTCTCACGGTATTCTATAGGATGCATTTCGGTGAGTGTGTGCACGCTTTAATTCCTCCCTCTCCTTTCCACCATCGGACAACCAGGCGGTCGGCTGATCTTCATCCCTTTGTTGTCGATATTCCACGCATTAGAATCAAAAGGTTTGCTTCGTCTTTTGTAATGCGTACAGCAAAGAAGTGGAATAATTTGCCAGCGTCTATCTTTCCGTCCGAATACATTCTGGGCGTCTTCAAGGCAAGAGTGAATAGGCTTTTGTTGCGCTAAGACAGTGCAATTTACCATCTAGGGCTGCATCACCACTTACCACCAGGCGGGATTGTGGTCAAGCACTGGCTTATAATAAGTAAAATAAACTTTGCGTACCTTGTGTGGGTATTGATAGTCGCGATGGTTTTCTGAAATTGCGTTAATCAGCAATAAAAACATAATGAAAATTTTATAAAAGTTTAACGTAGCTTTCATACAGGAAATAGAATAATATTTGATATTAGGTGCTATGAATTGCTATGAAATTGCCGTTTTTATGAAATAAGTTAACGTATTTTTTTTTCTATATTTATTTAAGTATTTTTTTATTAATCAAAGTAATCACCCACACAATCGATTCATCTTTGCCAACGCAGTGGCAGTTTATTCATGCCCTTTTTGACGAAATCAGCTGGACGGTAGGCAACAAATTCAATGACATTTTGTACTGCCTCTCGGGTATTGAAATTTTTTCCGCCAAAAAGTTATCCAAATTCTGAAAAAAGTAGAAGTCTATAGGCACTAGGTCTGGTGAGTACGGCGGATGACAGAGAGCTTCCAACCCCAGCTTGGAGACCGTCTGTTGTGCAGTATGAGCTCGCGTGTTGTCGGGCAGCAGGGACGAGCGATTGACCAAAGTTGGTTGGAGACAGCTGCAGCTACGAGCTTCTCCATTATTGTGTTCAATTCTTCATAGTACACATCTGCAATAATGCTCATCCCGTTTGGTAAGAAGCTGTAATGAATCACACTGGCGCTAGACCACCAGTGGATAAACAGTGACCATCTAGGGGTAAGTTTTCGTTTAGGTCATTGTTTAGGTGCTGAACCAGGATCCAATCCACTTGCTCAGCGCTTGGGACTGTCAAACAGAATCCATTTTTCGTCACAGGTAACAATGCGGTTCAAATTACTTCGTTTGTATTTGTATACCTGTTGCGCATTGCAAGTCACTCAAGTACTTTGCGCTGGCGATCATTGAGTTCGTGGGGCACCCATTTGTCAAGCTTTTTTACCTTGCCAATTTTACACAAATGGATCAATATTGTTCTGATGCTAACGTCGAAAGCTGCTGCTAATTCAGTCGTAGATTGTGTATCATCAGCTTCCACAATCCCCTTTAATTCGTTATTGTCGGCCAAAGTTTTCGAACGACGACAGGGTTCATCTTTCAGATCGAAATTTCCAAAACGGGCAAACCAATAACAGGTGCGTTCGTTTGTAGTATTCGCTCCGTAAACGTCGTTGATGTTGCGTGTCGCTTGTGCCGCGTTGCTGCCGCGACGGTACTCATATTCCATAATTACTCGAATTTTTAACGTATCCATGATGACAAAAATATTCAAATGCGATGAAAACATAACGCTCATCAATAAACAAATGAGAAACTATTTCTACCTTTTATGATTTTCTATACTTACATAATGCATTCAATTGATTTAAACCCAACTAAAACAAACTGATATTCCATCCGTGGACTTAAATGTTCCACTATTATGTGTATTTCAATAAGATTTCCTCTTCATGTAACAAAAGATCATATCCCATAAAGTCACATTTTGGTAAGAATTCGATTATATAACTAAACTCAAAGTTATTTAATTACCTAATTATAAATGTGAACTGTTTTTTTTTTATAGATATACATAATTTTGTACCTACCCAATAATTATAGAGATATGATATAGGCAGTAAAAAATGTAAATATTTACTATACTCCACCAAACATAAGAAATACCTTTTGACAGCTCTCACATTTATTGGACTAGGCATTCCAAATCAAAAATCGGTACCTACAATATTTGATTTTTGAAAGATACCGATATGGATTCTTTAGAGTTGATAATCATTTACTATTATAGCTAGATAAATACTAGAATAAATTAGAAACAGCTAACTCAAAACACAAAAATTATCAATTTTTTATCATATTTTTTTGCTTACCATTGATTTCTAGAGATAAAGTTACATAAATTAAAGGCTGTACTAGATTTAATCACTTTCATTCAACTAGTTGAGCTGCCGTCATCATCGTTGTTTACAATAATAATTTTTTCATTTTCTATATTTAATGCATTCAAAATAAACGTTTCTTTCACAGTCGTCCATGACAATTTTCTATATTTTTTTTCATCACTTTGGCCTAGTGATAGCTTGTGTATTACAGTTTGTAGTTGTATTTTCTACACATCCACCTCCGGCGGATCCCACATGACAAATTATGAGGCACCCATATTTTCCCATGGCCACGTGTTGTCTGTGTATGCGGCATTGTGGTTGGCGTTTAGCCCTGTTTTATCAATGAATATAACGTTGTCCCAATTGGTTATTTCTTGCATAAATGTTATTCTTTGCTATGTCTCTAAATAATTATTTTGCGCTTGTCAATTTTTTTATATCGGAAGGCATTACCTTTTCAAATATTTCTCAATGACTCTACTATCACAGTCTATAAATCCATACAGTCGTCCGACGTAGACGTCTAGACAGGGCAATAGTGCGGAGTGTGAGGGATGAGACGGGGGAAGGACGAACCCGAGGCCCGAGCTGCTCACGCCAATCGTATTAGTAGCTCGGGACACGACTTCCAGGGTTAACGCGCGTTTGTTTTTATAATTTTTAAATTTAATTTTGATACTTATAATTAAAATGGTTCATACGACGTGTGCTGTGAGAGATTGCAAGTCGTCATCTCGCATTAATAAAGATCTGCGATTTCACCAAATCCCGCACACGGAAGAAAGGTAAATAAATATTGTTATTATTTTTACATTATGTATATTTTGTCATGTCATACTCATACCAAATTGCCAACGTAAAAAAATGGCGGACGTAAAAAATAGGTACTAGTCGCTGGGCATTACTGTTTCGAAGTTTGATTTTTTTCTTCATCTAATCGTGGACAGGCTTTACTTATACGGTTTTACTTATACTATAGTGCCTCGTCTTCGGTCTTTCGAAGTTTTTTATAAAATATTAAGATTTAGGGGTCAATTTTTAGGTTTGTCGGGGTGCTAATTACGAAAATAGCATTTATTTTTAAAGCCAAGGTGGCAGTCATTGTTTAATATGTGTATGATATGGATGTCAAATTCAAGGTTTATTGGGGTGCCAATTACGAAAACGGCATCCATTTTCATATTCAAGAATTTTTTTTTATAATACAATATGGATGTCAATTTTAAGGTTTCTGGGGGTGATAATTATGAAAATTTATTAATAAGTATTGTATTTAAAAATTTCAGATGCAAATTGTGGATGGAAGTTATTGGAAGACCTGATTTAGTTGGAAGAACTTTCGAAAGCCTAAAGAATCAATTATAAAATAAACTTATAATTCAATGTCTGTAGTCATTATAAAGTTAATAATAATATGGATTTGATGTCTAGCTAAGAGTATAAGAACGATTTTATGTAGCGAAATTGAGGTATGGCCATATATCGAGAGTAGAGCACTCCCTCTTGTGAGGCGTGCAATTGATGTTTTGAGTACTTTCAGGAAAACTCTATGAATAAATTGTTACTTATTTTCTATATTAGTAATCATACTGTTGATGACGATGTAGATCTAAAATAAATAATTAAATTAGTAAAAGTTGTTAATTTGTAATAACCCTAACCTCCATACGCTGTCTAGACGTTGTCGGCATTTACCACGACATCAAAGGCGTCGTCCTACTGTATGTTTATTATACTGTGCTACTATACTACCATTGTAAACGCCGGCGTCTTCCAAACTTACTCGCAACTTGGCTACAGTGGGACTCACAGTAATTATTAAAAAAATAGACTTGTTTAATTCATGATTAATAGAATTTATGCAACTTTAAAAATCTCATAAATTAAAATTCGATTATTTGAATATATATATATATATATATATATATATATATATATATATATATATATATATATATATATATATATATATATAAGTAATATAGTTGTAGCATGAATGGGTCGGCTCGACCGGGGAACGACCGGGGAAGGACCACGCCACCAGAATACCAGCGACCCTTTTTACTGGAAACGAGGCATCTTAGTCCTCACGGGTGACAACGCATCTGCATTTTGATTCGCAAACGAGATGATAGATGTCTATGGGCCACAGCAACCACTTACCTTCAGGTGCACTGTGTGCTCGTTTGTCACCCTATCCTATAAAAAAAATATTTTTACCGATTATTCGCAATAGCATGAATTTGAATCATCCAAACACTACGGTAAGGTGTATAACGACATCATTGAAACATCGTTAAGCATAAAAGTTTACTCCGGTAAAATTTTTATATTTTGCAATGTTAAGAAGATTAGTAATAAAGAACAATACATGTTGTAATGACATATAGATAACTTCATAATTATTTGGTATTACATTAA